ATACTCAAACAGGAAGAGGTCACACGCTGCCTTCGATCATTAGATGATTAATACACTTCTGAACCCTACACATCCTCAAGAGCAAGGTGCGTTCCCACTGGCTCAATCCTATCTTCCTGGCACCTCTATGAGGACAAAAGGGAGACATTGTGTTCTGCGGTGACAGATGTGAAATCTCTCCTGGTGCTGAGTGCAAGAAGAGAGGTGCATCCTTACAACTAAGAAAATGCTCTTCCTGTCTCATTGTGTGACTTAAGACTGGAGGCAGAACATCAGAAGCAACCCTGGGCATTTCTTGGGACTCAGTAAGCAGAATAGGGCTCAGAGGTCTCTTTCACTGCTGCCAAGGCTTTCCAGCAGGCATGAACACAGTCCTGTACTGTGGAGTTGCCCAATCCATGGCTTAATGGGATTTACACCCCATACTTACACCACACCAGTCCTGCTCACTGAGGAAATTTTTCCACTACTGAAGTTAAAAAAAAAACCGTACCAGTAAAGAGTGAACCTGAGCTTTCCCCAGCAACCAAGATTGATCTTAAAGTAAACTTAAAATTGACACAGATGAAGAAGTTGGGAACTATTTGAGTTGTTGGCTTTGCAATGGCATGGGAGAGCTCCAGAGTTTGAAAGCAGGATGAAAAAATGAAGTCAAATGCATGGGATAAGCTTAACATTTCTGGAGGAATGACTTGTACTGAAGTCTTCCATCATCTTCAAGGATTTCTTTCCCCATATCTACCCTATACCCTGGGGCTGCCATGCATTCAGTCTAGATGAAAGCTGACATCCAGCCTCCAACCTTTCAAACAGTAGTCTAACGAAGAAGAAACAAAGACTTACAGTCTTGCTCACCCAGATCCTTGATGTTCTGATAAAAGCAGTGAATAGATCTATATTCCTGCTTACAATCCAGGGGAACAAAGCCACCAGACCCAAACGCTGAATATTGACAGACAAATGGAATAAGATACGTAACTTTGACGCAATGGGACATAAGTAACATGCAACTCATGACAAGCCTAGGCAAAGAGAGTCAGGTTACTACTGGTACATAATCCCCACTGACCAGTTTCAGAAGCAAATGGGCAGATATCTTTGGAGACATTCTCAGTGGATTGGATTTCTAGCAGCTGAGGGTCTGAAGTAGAGGTAGCATTGTAGCTATGTCGGACTCTATCCAATAGTCAACCATATCAACATAAATTCAATGTTTCAGAAGTATTTATTAGTTTGGTATGTCTTTGATAAGTATTAGTTACTAAATCCTACACTCTTCAGTTTCCTTAACATTTATATCAGAGCCTGTGACTGCAGTGTGATTCATGCACTGTGAATTTAATAATTAAACAAGAACAGTAGTGTGGATTATTGGAACTTCTTCATTAATTAGACCAAAGTTTGTTGATCAAAGTCCCTTTGAAAAGGACATTGCTTTAAAGCAGCTAAAACAGCAAAGGAAAGACATTAAATACTTATCTTTTCATATGAACTCAAGGTCACTCAACAGACATACACTGAAACGGAAGAAAAAAGACCAACTAATTTTATCTGCTTTTACACTCCCGAACGTCAGTCTTTCAAAGCCAAGCAATGATGTAAGATTTAAGCAATCAGCATCACAACATTCTTCCAGAGTAGGGAAAAATATCAGTAACTTTGGTACTTCAGCTTCTAGAAGCCATTATAAAGCCTGCTGGTATCCTAGGTTCTTTCATTTGCAACACTAAGATGGCTAGAAGACACTTGGTAGAAATATAGTGACTTACAATCAATACAGAAAAAAGAGCAACTCTTTACTATCAAAAACTATAGTCTTTAAGTTATTGCATCAGCAAGGTTTTTGCAGTAGTACAAGCACATACCTCAGCCATAATAAAAACCTAAATAAATGATATTGGGCATGGCATAATTTATATTTGTCACCTTATTAAAAGATCACAGTTTCAACTCTTTTCAAGTTTCTTTGCAGTTCAAAGCCCATCATCAACAAAGACCACAAGCAAACTCATGCCCAGCCCGTCACAAGTGGGATCCACCACGGATCGATATTGGGCCCAGCGCTATTCAATATCTTCATAAGCGATCTGGATAACAAGGATCAAGTGTAGCCCGATGAAGTTTGCAGATGACACCAAACTGAGTGAGGAAGTAGACACTCTGGAAGGGAGAGCCGCCCTGCAGGAAGATCTGGATAGGCTGGAAGAATGGGCTAACAAGAACCTTATGAAGTTTAACAAGGACAAGTGTAAGGTCTTGCACATGGGAAAACAGAATCCAGGAGTGCAGCTCAGGCTGGGAACCACCTGGCTGGAGAGCAGCTCCGTGGAAAGGGACCTGGGGGTTTTGGTGGACGGGAAGCTCAATATGAGTGAGCAGTGTGCTGCTGCGGCCAAGAAGGCCAACAGGATGCTGGGTTGCATCAAAAAGGGCATCGCCAGCAGAGATAAAAAAATCATTATCCCTCTCTACTCAGCTCTTGTCAGGCCACACCTGGAACACTGTGTACAGTTCTGGTCCCCGCTCTACAAAAAAGATGTGGACAGGCTGGAGGGGGTCCAGAGAAGGGCCACCAAGATGATCAAGGGTCTGGGAAGCCTGGCCTATGAGGACAGGCTGAGAGAGCTGGGCTTGTTTAGCCTTGAGAAAGGAGGCTTAGAGGTGACCTCATCACCATGTACCAGTACTTAAAGGGGAGCTACAAAGAAGATGAAGACTCCCTTTTTACAGGGAGTCACATGGTGAGGACAAGGGGTAACGGGTACAAGTTACTCCCAGGGAGATTCCAATTGGACATGAGAGGAAAATTTTTCACAGTGAGAACAGTCAACCATTGGAATAAACTCCCCAGGGAAGTGGCTGACTCCACTACACTGGACACGTTTAAGACTCAGCTGCACAGGGCGCTGGGCCATCTCATCTAGACTGTGCTCTTGCCTAGAAAGGTTGGACCAGATGATCCTTGAGGTGCCTTCCAACCTGGTATTCTATGATTCTATGATATTCTATGATTCAGTCTTGGAGCAATGGCTACCTTGGAAAGACAAAAGCCCCCATTTTTATTGTTGAGCATGATGTCACATGGCACAGGATATCCCCTTGGTCAGTTGGGGTCAGCTGTCCCAGCTGTGTCCCCTGCCAACCTCAGCCTACCCATTCAGGGGAGTGCGCACAAAACGGGAAATGGAGAAGGCCTTGACACTGTGCAAGCACTGCTCTGCAACAGGTAAAGCACTGGTGTGCTACCAAGACTGTTTGTCACAAAACCAAAACACAGCACCATACCAGCAGCTATGAAGAAAGTTTACTCCATCACAGCCAGACCCAGTACAAGGACACAACATCCATTTCAGAGGATTCAGCACTGAAAAGATTTTGGAGAGCTTTGATGCAAAACACATACCTGAAGCAACAATACTGTTAAGTGTTAGACTAGATAAAACTCTGCACTGAGCAGTTACTGGGCAACTTTAGGTACTAGGAGTTTTAAGAGGTTTTGATTGGGTTTAGCTGGCTGACTGAAAGAGGACTTGTTCCACATGCCCTCTGCATTTTGGAAAGTAAGCATTTGCAAGTAGCTGCAAACCACTTTTAGGCTTTTCTTCCTGAAGATGCTGTGAAAAGAATAAATAATACAATCACTATAAACGACTGAGTTACTTCACATTACTGCACTTTTAGGACACTGTGTGAAGCCAGTGCTGGATATGGTGTGTTAAGCTGAATGATTATCAAAGCCTGACAGCTGAACATCCTCACTACAATTATCTTCTCTGGCCCCAGACATTGCCCTAAACACCAGGGGAGCTTATGGAATTTAATAATTTCAGGGTGGTATATGAAACTTGCTCTCGGTGCCTTCTCTGGAGCAAAAAAAACCTATCAAGCACAGTCTTTTTTTGTATCGACTAACAATATCTGTTGGATTCTTCTAGTATGACTCCAACACTTCTGGTGGCTGCCACTGCTTTAACTGCTTCCACTCTTGGCAATGACACTGCATTCATAGCTTGATGACTTCCTGAAAGTAGCATTATAAACTAGCATCTCCCCAATTACTTACACAATATATTATCAAGACTCCCACCCAACATATCAATCTACAGTGGAAATCCACAGGAGAAATATACTGCAGAAATACAAGCAACAATCTAATCCTGAGCTCAAAGACATTGGTACTGACAGCCATTAGTTAAACTTCTCACATAACTGTAGATATACTTTTTTTTTTTTTTAAAATGGGGTGTTACCATGGACAGTGTGTCAGTATTTAAGAGCAGGCTAAGCAGAACTGCATGCATTTACAAACAGGCATCCCACCAGCCTTCTCAAATACTTGCAACCAACATTAGATTGGATTTTAGCTAAATTATTACTAAAAATGAACTTCTCTTCAGGTAGATAGGCTTTTAACACGTTAACAAAGATAGTAGAAAAATTAACTCTTCACAGAAAGCAACTGCCCACAATTCAAGAGCTTGGTGGTGTTGAGATGATTAGATAATTCAGTTAGCTCTCAGCCCCCAAGACAGTGCTGAAACTCACAAGAGAAGTCACAAAGACTTGAGATGTAACATGATTAATTGGAGATATTTAAAAACATGAATTGCCAGGAAGATAAAAGAATGTCTACTTTTTCTTTCCACAGCTAGCAACTACAAAGATTTCAGCAGCATGGTCTAGTAAGAAACAGACCCCACATGGATTCACTGAAAGCAATGCAGACACACTCAGCCAGCCAGAGATCCAGCTGAGATGCAACACCAATGTGCTCCTCAGGCATTCCAGGAAAGGGATGCACTTTGATTTGATGCATCGGTGTGAGGAAAATGTCATCTGAAGGCTGTAGATAAAGAGCACACGTCCCACTGAATTAACAATTGACACAGCTGTATATAACAAGACCATCAAGAAGAGTGGCTGAGCTTCATTATTCAAATGCATTGAGTGATTTTTTTTTTTTTTCAACAAATGGATTCTTGTACAACACTTCTGCAGATTTTAATATACTGACATATGAAAACAGCAACTTCAGTTCACTGGAAACAGTTTTCTTTTTAATTTTACCATAAAAAGGCAAAATAAACTCTTTCACTGTAATGTTATAGCTTTTAATATTCCTGAGCTGCATTTTAGAAGCAAAAGTATTTTTAAAGGGATTTAACAAGAGACACTGCAGCCTTACTTTCCAACACCACAAGTAAAAATAATTTAGCAAGAAGGCCCCTTTTTCAAAAGACAATGGCTAGCTCTGTATGTACCTGAAAAAATGCTTCAAGTGGCTCTATGCCACCTGAAGTAATTACAAAGCCAAATATGTCAACAAAATAACAGAACAACTCTTCAACCATTTTACCACTGCTTCTTACATCAGTGCCTCTCTTACATGGAAAGTATTATTATACAAACGGCATTACATGCCACCAAGCTTGGCACCATACAGACATATGAAGGAATCAGAGCAGTTTAAAAGATATCCTGCATACCTTTATAGTCACTTTTAAGAACTATATGAAAGTCCTGCTATCCACCTCAATCAGCAAAAACTCTACTTTGTTAAATGTGATTTCACTGAATGCACCAGAAAGCATTTTAAATCAAATCTGTATGTAATAACTTATCACGTCTGGAGTTCCTATAAGTGGCACCCACGTACTTCTCAAGCCAAATTAGGTGATACAGAGATAAAAACTAAATCAACTAAAATTAAGGTTTAGAAAACTGAAAATCAAGAAAACAGGTTGGCTTTTAGCACTGTAGGAACTCGAGCACAAGCACAGGTGGTTATACCTACATTGTGGCAGAAACCTAGAAAGAGACAACAAAGCACGAAGGAACGTCAGAAAAATCAGGCATCTATTTTCTTGATTTCAGGGACTAGATGCAAGTTAAGCATTGGTTGAAACAAACGTGTTTTCTATAGCAGTCACACCGATGAGGTCTTGTTCACAACTTTCTGGCCCTTTTGTCCAACTACAGCCTTTCCAAGGAGCCAAGGCCTCCACTACCCACTCCAAGTACTCCTTTGCTTACTCAGTGATCTCCTCCGGTGCCTTCGTCTCCTGCTCACGCTTCTGCGACTATGACTTCTTTCTCTTCTGTCTCGTTTACGTTCGCTACTGCGAGTTCTTCTGTAACGTGAACGTCTGGGGCTTACACTTCTTCGACGAGGACTATGGCTTCGTCGAGGACTGTAACTTCTGCTAGAGCGTCTATAATACCTCCTTTCTCTCCTGCGCTTTTCATCCTGATAACTCACATCTCTTCTGTGCCTGCTCCTCTCTCGTTTACCCTTACTCTCATCAGTGTTTATGCTGCTACATGAACGGCTCTTTCTTCTCCTCGGCTCTGTGCTACGTTTGCCCTGCTCACAGTGTGAGTCCTTCCTGCAGGCATTCTGGTCATAGCTAGAGAGGCTCTTTTGCTGCTGGTTATTGGCAGGAACACATGAAACTACCCCTGAACTTTTCTCAGAACACCTCTCAGAGTTTGTGGTATGAAGTTTCTGACCTTCTTTCACATGAGCTTTGTCATGAACGTTGCCATTCAAGTACTTGCATTGAGTGTTTACATTCTCAGGAGATGCTGCTTCTCTTTGAGAGCCGGGAGCCAGTTTGCCTGTAACAGCCTGTCCTGAGGTAGAAGTGATGCAGCTGGATGACACAGTGTGTGGAACACCACTAGGGGTTTTCGGCATGTCAGACTGGGTTGCTTCAGTTTCTTCTTTGTTTTGATTAATTGCATCCATTTTCTTGCTCAGAAGATTGTTCAGTAGTTTCTCCCTCAGTTCCTTTTCTTTCCTCTGCAACCCCAGTGCTCTTTCTTTTTCCTCTTCCACACGTTTGAGCTCAGCCTCCTGGAGCCTTCGTCTCTCCTCTAGCTGCTGAAGACGAATCTTTTCTTCATTATGTTCTTGCTCCAAAAGCTTTACTGTCTGAAAGATAGCCAAAGGGAAGGTAAGAGTGAACAAAAAAATATTTATAGACCTGCTCATGCTTCCAAGTTACACCATAATACAAAAGCAGCAATATGGCAAGAAAATAAAATCTAACAAACAGAACTTCACCATCCCAAAATAAAACAGTTGTTTCCCCACTTAAAGTGAAAAAAACCCCAAAACCAACCAAACAAAAAAAACCACTAACACAAAACTGTTGTAAGGTGAAACATTAATATTAGTCCACAAACTCTTTTGAGTGTTAATTTCTCCTAGCTGTTTCACAAGGCAAAAACAAAGCTTGGTCTTTATGGCTCCTTAATATGACGAGAGTAACACACAAGCTAGAACAACATGTGAAATCTGAAGTATTAAAATACATTTATCAGGGTCAACACATGAAGGTTTTAGTGAAATTTAAAACATGAATTTCTGTTAGATGATTGCAATCTGTCATTCATAGATTACTTTACAATGAGTCCATAAAAACCAGCAAATAATTAAACACACACATATTATGTAGAAACTGATTCTCATTTTGTCAACCACTTTAGAAACTCATGATACTGAAAATGAAGGTTCAAACTTTTTTTTTTTTTTAACTCTGACCCAGACAAACGGCTTAGTGTAGACCTCAAAATTCCAGGAGTGAAAGAAACACATTGCTCTATTTTATCAGACAATCATTCTGTTTCACAGCTGCAAAGTTACAAAGCCTGAAAGACGTATTTCTCCTTTCTCCTAGCATATAAGTGACCTAACACTGTACAGTTCAAAACCACTTCTGAGGTACACTGGCATCAAGGAAAAAAAACTGTGCTTTGCCACACAGTTTTTCATTTCTACAGAAAATACTTAGCATGCATTACATTACAACCTAACATGACTTTATCCAAGTTTTAAGCAAATGACATCCTGTTTCAGTGAAAAATAACAATACTGTTAGAGAAACAGGATCTAACATTCAAAACCTTAGCCAACAGTACTTTTCCTAGAGAAAAATCATTCTGCACTTTTTCAAACATCAAATAATGAAAGCTCATTCTCTGAAACTGCAAAGAATAGTTAAAGGAACTGCTGAAAGCCAGATGGAAAACAGCATCAAAAATGGAATTAGAAATAAGGAGTCTTGCATCTTATCCTCTGTGTTTAATTCACTTTATCATGCTTACACATTCTTTTACTGGACTTAAGAGCAACCTTGCCAATTAGTTTACAGGTAAAAAATCCTATTCAGGACTACAGGTTCAAGTTCACTCTTCCATTTACCTATATGTGCATGTTTTACTGAGGGAAATATACTGTTTCATTGTACTTTTTTGACTTTTTGGTCCAAGGAATAGCATCTGGAGAGGTACTAAATCTGTTATTTAATGAACAGCACTCCCCACCCGCTCTCAAGTCAGTAAAAGGCTTTGTTCTGCTGGGTTCTTCATTAGCTTCTGAAATAAATATTGAAGGTACCTTTGCCCTGCTTAGCAGTTCTGCAATTAGTCTAATGGACTGGAGATTTCTCTGAGCTAACAGGAGCTTCCTTTCTTCTAACTTTATCTTCTCTTGCAGTTTTTTTTGTTCTTCAGCTTGAAGCTTTTCAAGTTGCTTTTTGTTTCGTCGAACTTCACGATCTTTCTGTTTCTGTTCTCTCTTGCGCAACTTTTCTTCTCTTTTTCTCTCTCTCTCATATTCTTCAAGCTCTCGCTGCTTCCTAAAAAGAGATTAATATTGTTACGTTATCTAGGGCAGGTACAATTTTAGACTCCTACTCTATGTAAAAATATATTTTGTACTTTGAGTAACTTTGTTTCTAAGTAAGTCTTGTTGATTACTGAAAAACAGAAGTAGAAAACAGTAAACATTTTAACCATTAGCTGTGACAGCAATCATCAGCCTGTCAATATTTAAAAACAAGTTGGAATCCAAACATAAAACATAGCTACAACAAAAACATTTTTTTTTTAACCCAATTCCACCACAGACAATAACAATACATCAGGCAGCTGGACAGTGAATCATCATAGCGAGAAGAAAATTACCAAGCCAATTAATGTGTGCAAGGGTTGGCGATTTTATTTCAGTCAGTAGGACAAAATGGCAGCTTATGTAAAAGGCTGAGAGTTTCTGAGATCAGGCATCTAATGGCATGATTTTTAGGAAACTGAGCATTTTGGCGATTTGATATTTTGAACTGAACATAAGCATTAGTGATAATCTAAATAACCCTACAGTTTCAGAAACTTTAAATATCTTAACATTAAGCAATAACAATTTATACACATCAAAGCAAATAGGCACCATACAACCTCTGAAACAATTTGCTCCATTTGTGTTTATATTCTGAATAGCTGTCTTATGACATTTGCACCCCTATACTTTTTCTTAAAATGTCACTGTTAAGATATGCTTGTATCCCATCTGTTTCCTGGAAAAATACCGATGTTAAGAACAAATGAGCTTTATAACATCAAAGTTATTTAGTAGTAGAACTAGTGCATTATTTTCTATTCCCCATTTACAATGCATATTTTTCTATCAGAATGACTACACGTCATGCAAGTTCCCTGCTCCTGGAATTAAAGTTCAAGAAGAAAAAAAAAAAAGGTGTAAGATACTCCTCCAAATCTCATAATCCCTGAACCCTATTTCCTCAAAAGGACCACAATATTCTCACTCAATTTTAAGTGCTTCACTTTAGCTACAGAAGTAGAACTTTGAAAGGAAACTTGTGTTTAGTTATTTTCTATCTATTGATGCAGATACGAAGAGGCAACTACAGTTTTGTTATGCCTGATTGTTAAAAATATAACTGAGCAATAAGCGATAAATACCTTTCTTCCTCTTTTTGTTTTTCCTCAGCTTCCTTCTCTTTACGTTTTTGTTCTTCTCTCTGTTTTTCAAGCTCTTGAAGCTTTTGCCTTTCAAGCTGACGCTTCTTAATTGATGCATCACTGAGGTGTTTTGTTGAGTCAAAAGAAACCTTTACAGGATACAATTGAAAACAGTTTTAAGTAGAGAAAAAAAAAAATCCCCGACAACCTACACAATCCCCAACAATTTCAACCTAGCACAAAGGTATCCAAACCACAGTGTAAATACAATCAGAAACATAAAACCTTTTTCAAAACAAAGGGAACTTCTCTATGTGCCCAGAGCAAGCATCAGAGTACTATAACCAGATAACTGGGAACTAAATGCCTGCACGCTAGCACAATCAGGTACCAGTTTACACTTCTGTATGTGTCTGACATCCAAAAGTAAACCCTAGGGTGGTTTAGGCCCTAGCTGTCCAATGTTTTCAACCTGTCAGAACAGGAACATACAGAACTCTTTCAACTCATGTATGCTCTTAGGGGCTGTACAGCACTAGGTAGAAATGGGCCTAAATAAAGGCCTCCCTTTCTGTCTAAAACTGTGATCCTTAAGTTCAGCAGAAGAAACAGTTCTACAACATTCAGCACCTGGTTTAAGCAAGTGCCTCCCCACCCATTCTAATGCCAGGATGCCCAAATTGAGGTATACTGGGCTGAAGCTCCAAGTTTGAGACTAGGAACAGAAGAGAAAAGGAAGTTACACACATCCGAGCAATGAGACCTGGGAAAGTCTTCGGCTTCCAGCACATATGAGCACAACTTGGCCATGTCCAGCTGCGTGCTGGAACAGGACACCAGCAGACATCACACCCCTGGTGTCCCAAACTCCCATTCTAAATACCACCTGTGTGCAGGCAGGCAGGGGTCTAGAATACATTCCTGCAGGCCCATTGTCATGAACCACGGGGCAGAGAACAAGGAGCACATACTCTGCAGTTTAATTCACCCAGGCTCTATGTAAAATGATGTTTCACTAACAGGCTGAAAGGACAGACAGGTAGAAACAGACAAGGTGTTGTGACCTTGTATTAAAGAGATCTGTCCTGACAGCACAGCCGCAAACACAGCCCTCTCTCTTTCCTATCAATCCCCAGGGCAGCTGCCAGGAAGGCATGCTTCTTCTTGCACGGCCAAACTAAATTTGGGAACCCTGATCCCCTGCATATAAGTGACAGTTTGAATTTCACATCCCCTTGAAAACCTTGAGGGTCAAGGTACAAACAGTTTCTATGCTCCAGCTGACAAACTTTGATAACAAGATAAAAGATTACAGTATTTTACTCATACTGACTAAACTACAACTTGAATAAATATTTGCATGTTCCCACATTACACAAAGGAATACTCAAGTTTTTTTCCTGAAATACACTTTCTGATTTGATGAATTACTATTGAGCATACTGAAATACATCCGTAAACATTTCACTCAACTGATGTGTAAATGCAGACCACCTCCAAACGTATCAGAGCACATTTTCTTCAGGACATGCTTTCATAGATATCTTGTTCTCTCCTGTCATAGTTGTATTTTCCAAGACAATGAGATTACAGACAAAAAGATATGGAAAACTCAGTATGCAAATATTATGAATTAAGCATACTGCATTCACAGGAAACTGTGCTACAGATTAACTTTATCGTTTAAATTTTTGTGGGGCCTTTCTGTACGGGATGTACACTAAAGATTAACTGTGTATTACCCAGGCCGTACAGGCCACATGCTATTAAACATCACAGTTCTGACACTTGTCTGGTAGACCTCATTATCACTGCAGGGACCAAATACAGAGGCTGTGAAATTCTCCACCAAAATTTCTATTTGTAGTCAACACAAGAGAGGTCAATGCACTTTAAAGTCAGCCTTCTGGTGAAATACATCTGAACTTGTTCAGAATTAGAATTTTAAGTGAAATGACAAGATTTATAAATACATATTACTTTCTAAAAACTATTTAGCAGGTCATGTTAGTATACTTGGTCCTTCCGTCAAGCCATTCTCATTTCTAGAACTGTCTTAAAAAAAAAAAAAAAAGCAAAACACCACCCACTTTGTTCATGTAGTCTAACATCACATTTTTCTTCCACCATTTTCCTTTAAAAATTCTATTATGGCTGGTCCATAAAACTACATTAGTGCTGTTAATGTCACCTGTTGTCATCACTACAGTACACAGATGTAGGTTTTAAGCACTGGGGAAATAACATTTAGCTGTTCTTGCTCTTTCACATGGGTTCCCATAAAAAAGCCTGCAGTTTCTCACCTTTATATTGCAAGCCACTGCTTTGCCATCATCGCCTTTATACATCAGCTTCATCCCTCGCAGGGCATTCATGGCCTTAATGAAACCTGCGTACTCTCGATATTGAACATAAGCTTCAAAATTTAAATGGCCTCCAAAGCTGAAAGTGTGAAAATTTCTGCCAGTCATTTCTTCTCTGTAAGGGTCCAGCATGGGTATGTCCACATTACGTATTTCTCCAAATTTCTTGAAAACTTTTATAAGGATTTCTTCACTTGGCTTTTCCGAGCCAGAGTCTTTTGCCGCAAACCACTTACAAGGCAAACCCTCTAAGTGAATAGTATCTGGCCTTTCCCCTGGCAAAGTTTCATTCATATCTTTCGCATCACGGAAAAACGAGTCCCAGTCATGTCTGGTAGGAAAGTCAATCTTGTATTCCGCAGCCCGGACTTTTAAAATGTCAGAGAAGCCACTCAGCTTTATTGTTTTGCCATCAAGGCATGCCAGAAAAGATTTAACCAAACTTTTGTTTTCAACCTCTCCTTCAAACCGGATGAAATCCATTGTGCTTTTAGAAATCCGCAGAGTGGAAAACTGGTGAGTTTGCACCATCCCTTTCAATCTTTCCATCACTTCCCAGTTTGAAATGGATTTTCCCGGTTGTTTCAGCTGAGGAAGTGCCACACTGATGGTCATTTTTGTAATGGGTTTAAGGTATAACCCACAGGGAGCACAGAGCTCTACAGCTTCTGATGTATCATGAACTATTGTTGCAGCAGCCATAACACAGAAAAAGCATAGGATAAAAAAAAATAAAAGATGCAAGTTTAAGTTGCAGGCCAACAGTAGTCAAATAAAACAGCCCTTATCCATAAATAATGGAATTCTTTGGCCATTTAACCATTCCCAAGTTAAAACAATGTCTCTTAATACAAGAGTCAATTAGAGAGTTAAAACTGAGTAATACAAACATCTTAAATTACTTTATAACCACTAGAGCCTATAAGTAATTAAACTTCAGTAAGGCCTCAGGAAAAAACCCAAGCTGATGACAATCTTAGGGATACATGAAGCTGGTATGTGATGGCTCAGAAAGCAGCTACCCTTTCTCAGGCAGGAAGGGACTGGCGGAGCGATGTCACACCGCTTTGAAGTCTACTTAACAACCGGTAAACCCCAGCAGGCTAGCACCGAGGCGGATCCCACGTTCTCCAGCAGAAAGGCTTGGAAAGTGTCTGCAAGGAGAGAAAAACGACCCTTTTATTCAACAGCCTGAAGCCCCACCGCCCTCCCTCCCAGCCGCCTCAGCAGTACAAGGCGGGGGAGCGCCGTCAGCCACACCGGAGCCCGCGACCACCACCGGCCGCCCCCCCCGCCCGCGGAAAGGC